GGAGGAGGAGCCCGCCGGCCGGTTTCTGGCAGTAAAAGGTGCCGTCCGCGACCTGGTGAGCTCGTCATGCACCTCCGGGAAAAAAGGCACCGGGGGGGGCGCTGAGAACCAGCGCGAGCCACCCCGAGAAACCAATCATCCAGCCTTGAGGGCTCGGGACGCGGTGGAGGTTTCCACTCGAGCCCGACCCTTTCGGCGGCCCGGGAAAGCATAGCTGTCATCTCCGGATCCGATTCCAGCTTTGCCACCGTCCCGGAGGGCGGCAGCGCGGCCGAATCCTCATCGGACAGCTCTCCCTCCGATGCTGAGATCGACATCTGGTCGGGGGGAGGTCCACTGGATACCGCTGGTACGCTCTTTAAAGAGGGCCCAGCGCGTTCCGTGGGTCGCTCCACTGGATCGGAGGAGCAAGAGGAGTGATGGTCCCCAGAGGGTTGGTTCCCTGCGGGGTTTGCCATCACTGTAACCCTCAAACCGCCCGCGCTACTGCTGGAAGTGGTTCTCGTCTGCCTTCCGCCAGAACGAGCCCCAGATCGCGGCAGCGGCCACGGGACTCCGCCCCCTTGCGAGTAGCGGAGCCTGGTTCGCAGCTTCTAGAACCATCTGTCATATTTCTCCTTCTCCCTCACTCCCTGCAGCCCACTCTCCTCGTCTACAAATAAAAATAACCTCTCAGATCATGTAGCCTGTTTTCTCTATATGTATGACATCAGTGAAGTCTCCTGTTCCTGCATATGCTCGTACACATATTATTACTCTGACCATTTCACAACCTGACATTTACTGACCAACACGTTCGTACACACTTTCATACACACACACACACAGTCAGGCAGAGCTGAATAGAAGTCCTGTGATTATTCTCTGGGGATAATCCTTAGTGAAGGGGGACCATAGTTACGCAGCAGGACCCAACAGTGTGCTGAGCGGACAATCTTCTCCACGTGAGGCGGAGTGCGAAATTGAAATTATTCCTGGCTTCAAGCTGCGTTCTTTAACACGTGCATTAAAGAGGGGGGCATACCGGGATTTTGTTTCAGCAGACGATTGTTTGGTTAAGAAAATAAACCTATGATGCTGCAAGGTAAATAACGTCAGGCAATTGCCAGCTTTTAGCTGAAGCATAGTTTCAATTTCATAGCAGGCTGAGACTAACTCTCAGTAAAACCTTTACTCAGTCAACGCCACCGCTTAGCAACACCGTTAAATCTATGAAATTGTTTACGAGATGCATTTTTCTGCATACAACACACATTTGCAGTGCAGTATCTGTCATAGAGTGACAGTTCTCATTTTTGCAGGGTCTCTGGAATCATAAACCACTCTCAGGTCCTCGATGTTGGCAGAGCTGGCTGTTCACATCCATTTGCAGTGGCAGAAAGCAGCATCAAATGTAAATGGCCTTTGCTGGATGCGAGAGATGATGAGGAAGATATATGGAGCTCTTTCCTCTCCCTCTTCCTCTTGTTTATGAAGCGTAGCTCCAAAGTGCCTCTTTGCACATTCGGCGTGGAGGAATCCTCCAGCAGATTTTACTTCGTTCCACGTTGAAATGGCTGTTTAATCAGGAGGAACTAAGCACCAGGTGCTGCCTATATCCCATTCCTCACCGCTGGATGGGCACACTTTTCCTGCCTCCCTAAACCAAAGCCAAACAAGCACTTGCTTTCTGTGCCAGTGATATGTGACGTAAGGATTTGGGGGACAGTGATAGTTGGTTGCTCTTGGCGCTGTGGCAAAGTTATGGAGAGGTTGTGCCAGGATTGTCTGGCAATGAGGCTACTTATTCCCCCTCCGGTGAGCCGAGAGGTAACACATGATATGGGTAAGTGAGTTTATGGGGTCTTGCCAACAATAATTACCATCAAACCAGCCGATAGCACAAGAAAGAGAAAGCTAATGGGAATAACAGTACACCAAGGCGAAAAGGTGGCGAAAAGCTGTTTTCTTCCTTTATCTGTTTTTTTGTATTGCGGTCCATCTCCAGGTTTTTCCCCCACCTACAGTTTCTCTTGTAATTGGTCCAGGCATTGACAACAGTCAGAGTGAGGATGATTACAGGGCAGTGTTAGGATGGAGATGAAAGGAAAATTAAATGTGACCCTGTTGACCCCTGGACCTGTCCTCCTTTGGCTCACTCAAGGCAGTGGCTACAAAACAAGGGGACACTAATCCTTTCCCGGTGTTGCTCCAGCTTAGCGGGCACACGCAGGCACACATACATGCACATGTACACACGGTACTGCACAGCGGCAAGTCTCAATACGGCAGCGGGACAGAGGGAATGCAGGTGGCAGCTGGGATACAGGGAGGCAGAGGAGGCGTAGATGCACACACATCACAATGCTGTAATCCTGAAATATTGATGCTCTGTGCCCTGGCTCATTGCAGGGCGCCTTGGCAATTCACCAGCTCCCTGCGGCACACACAGGCTGGAGACACTGGATCTATGTATATTGAGTTTCACTTTGTTATAGTTATTATGTATGTACATCTCTCATGCCAGATCAGAGCCTGTGGTCCAAGCGAAGGTGTTAGCCAATCATGATGTACTCCGACACACCCCGGCCCTCCATTCAGCCACCTTCTATTGTAACGGGATCCATTTCAAGCTCAGTGGTCGGACTGTAGGGGGGGGAGGAAATGTGTCCGGTTTAATTCCAGGCCAGAGTAGGTTCACTTGGCATCAATCCAGCCGGATCATATTAAGGCTTTTAATTGTGTTTCTTGTATTAGGGTCTCGTGGATTATTGTGGTAATAAAGACAGCCTGCAGATTGGGGCTATAGATTCCAGAGCGCAATTCATGTTCCAGCAATTGCATTTGTTTAACAAAGTCCTATTCATTAGGAGACACCGTCCATTGTGAAGTGAATTTTTCATGGTCATGGTAATCGCATTTGTGCATGACACTCACAGTGATAATCGTGGCTTTGTGCTGTTTTTATTTACTTATTTATTTACTCTGTTTATTTGTTTGTTTTCCAGAACGGAGTCTGTGGCTGAGAAAATGCTCACAAATTGGTTCACTTTTCTGCTATACAAATTCCTCAAGGTAAGTCCGTGTTCTGTGTGTGGATAAGTTGTGTGTGCGTTAACGCATATTCCGGTCTGGGAGGCCAAAATTTTATAATTAAGAATCAACCATTAAAATTGCTGAAGAATATTCAGATTAGTGGTTGGCCGATATGCAAAGAAAAGAGATCAGTCACCTTCAAGGTCATTTGGCACATGCACTGTTGAGCACAGAGGAGTCAAATGAAGTCCTGCGGGAGCATTGGCAGTGATGCACTGCAGGTGTTTGACAGAGAGAGAGTGTGTGTGTCTTGTGTATGAATATGTGTAGGTGTGTATGTACATCTGTATGTGAGTGTGCCTGTATGCACTTTTAAAAGGGTCATATGATGTTGCTAAAAAGAACATTATTTTGTGTATTTGGTGTAATGAAATGTGTTTATGCGGTTTAAGGTTAAAAAAACACATTATTTTCCACATACTGTACATTATTGTTTCTCCTCTATGCCCCGCCTTTCTGAAACGCGGCAACTTTTACAAAGCTCATCGGTCTGAAAAGCGAGGTGTGCTCTGATTGGCCAGCTATCCAGTGAGTTGTGATTGGCTGAATACCTCAATCATGTGACGGAAATGTTACGCCCCTTATCATACTGTGATGCTGTGTCCCGGCGCGACGAAACAAAACCAATAAAACCCATTATAAACGAGGCATTTGTTGCATCCAGTGGGGACATAATTAC